GCGCTATTGGACACAGGGGAAGCTTCTAGCAGCTTCTCACAGAAGCCACCCCTGTAGCCCCCCTGCTACCAAAACCTTGCCATGAAAACTCAATAGAGTAGTACCCATACATGTAGTCTCTGGCAGTGCATAATAGACGTAAGATGTGAGGACATCATAACTGTGCTCTTCTGAGACTCTTTGGTGACTACTTATTTATGCAATACCATTTATTCAGAAGGAATGCATATAAATCCTCATTTTCTAGAAAACGTTAATAAAGAAACAATATCCTTTCTCAAACAATGTTCAAACTTGGTTTTCCCCAGGGAAATCTTTCTGTTCTCCCTTTCATGATGAAGATGCCTTTCTGCTTAATTATGCCATGCCTTGTGGTTGCTTTCACTAGGTATGTACAAAAGTCAAGCAAATTAATGCAATATCCATGGTATTTTCAGTCAAAGGGTATGTTTCCCTAAGTTAGTTCTTATTTTGACCTGTCTGGATTTTATTGTCTGTACTTTTGATAAACAGGGCAGCTTTAAACTGATGCCTTTATCAGCCTGAATGAGAAGGGTTATGAAGGATGGCAAACAGTACCTATCCCCCTTGCTGGAATCTGACCAGAAAAATAGCAGGCTCATCTCACCTCTGTATCAAAATACTCAAGTAAATTTGGCACAGCAAGACCAATTAATGCGATAACCCATGAAAGCAATAGCCTTGCAGTCAGTCCCTGATGGCTGGGGCTGGTCTGCAAGTGCAGGAGTTCATCAGTTGCTCTCAGCCACTGCAGCTGAGTGCATGGGGAGACTTACCTTAGCAGGAATTGCTCTTTCAGCAGACCAGATCCTTTTAAGATCTTTGCTCTTAAATGGTTCCAAAGCACTTTATGGGTCTTTTTATGTCACTGGAGCTGTCTGTGAACACCTGGCATCAGTAATTAGCAAATTATCACCTGCAAAGCAACCATCATATGTTGCCTCCCACTTGTTATTCATTTAGATTCACTAGACAGGCTGAGGTATAGGCTGCTCCTTTCCTCTTAATCTTAGAGTGAGTAGAAGTTTAATGAGCTCAGTAGGATTTCCAGGGAATCCTTAGCAAGTCAACTTTCACATTATCAGTGATCTCTTTATGAAATTAGTGTCTAGGATGTAGGTCTAGTAATTGAATTTGAAGTAACAGAGAATTAATTAAACTAATGCCAGGGAGTACAACTTTGCTTTTAGCCCAGCTTCTCGCCTTCCAGATTGGGACTGGCCAATCCGCACTTCATGGCGGGATGCAGCTTGCGCTGGGGCTACACCCGTGAGCAGTGGTGAGATGAATGTGCCTGACACTGCCGGATTTCTGAAATGCAAAGGAGCAAGAAGGTAGTGCCACCTCCTGCCTGGTGCTCCCCGAGGTATGCGTCTGGTGGCTCACGGTGACCAGGAGGTGTCAGGTGCAGGTGACATAGCGAGGTTTGCTCTTCTGGCTTTGCTCTTCCTTGGAGGTTGGCCTCAGGGATTTCAACAGCCTCGAGCAGCCATCCCTTTCCAGGAACCAGCACAGCACCCCACAATTCACCATATGAGGAAAGCTGCAAGTGCACAAGGTGTGTTTGGAATATCAAGAACGCAGTACAAATTGTTCAGATTTTTAGCCCTAAAACTGGTCTGCAATCTGGCTGAAGGGATTCCTATCAAGTGCTTGTTTTTTCTGAACGAACCAATGTTTGTTTTACTGCCAGGCTGTAGTTGGCTCTGGTGTGGCTTGAGGAGCAGAGGAGGGTGAAGAAAAGAGACTGTTCCCTTTTTGCTTCTTTAGTATTGCACAATGTCCAAGCGAGAAGAAAGTGGAATTCCTCTTGGCCTTGCGCCGTACGAGCTCCAGAATAAAACAAGGCTGTTATAACTCCTGAATATAAATGACAATGTATCTTTTATATAAATAGGCCACATGCTGAAAGGAAATGCTGTCAGTCTAAGACAAATCAGTTCAGGCCAAAGAAAACTTTTGCTCTTTCTAGGCAAGGTCTTTGGCAGCTGATTGAGACACTTATGTTTTTTTAAAAATAAAAAATAAGTTCTAGAAATGTCTTTTCCAGAAAAAGCTGTTGACTTTATCGTTGTTGTTAGTATATTTTGTCATCATCTAAAAAAGAAAATTCAGTTAACTTTGCCCATAACTTCCTAACATCTGTACCTAGCATTTCCTTGTAATTTCTTATTTCACAATTCAGTTTCTCCTTTTTATTTTAACCCTAGAGACTTTCTCAGGGAAGTAACTCTCTTTCTCGCATTGTCTTTCTGCTGAGCAGTCAAGTAGGAACAAATCCTGCACTTAGGAAATGCAATCATTTTGGCAACAAACAGGAGATGATGCCAAATTTCCTTGCTATCACCTTTTTGCTACAGGTGCTGAACAAATATGTTACTACACTTCCAATAATATTTTCACATCATAAATTTTTTTTTCCATTTAGCAGTTTTTCTAAACAAAACAAAATATTTCCATGGTAAAAATCTACTGTGATAAAGTCAGGCCTTTATGCAGTTATAGGGACAGTCTATAGTGGTCTGGAGAGGAGTGCTGTTTCTTTCAGGTTCCGACCTATACATTTGGAAACCAAACTCCTGAGTGCTTGCCCCGTGATCTGGGTAAGAAGAGATATGTGGCATTTTCTGAAATTGTGGCTGGCTCTTGGTATGACTGCCTGACAAGATTGAGCTACTTCACAAGAAGAACAGGGATTGTTTTTAAAATGAGCCATTTTTCAGGTGGTTTTGGGTGCTGGTCTCCTAGTTGCATTTATGCAGAAATGAAGGTCAGTAGGGCAATGGCAATCTCATCTAGAAGGGAAGAAATTTTTATAATGACCTGCAGAGTGAATTTCACTTAAATCCTCTAAAATTCAAGCCCGTCTCATCTCACACATGAAAATATGAGACTGACATGTTTTCCTGATGGTATTTTTTCACTGTGTAATTAAGGCCTAAGATTTAAAAGCTGAGGCTGAATTTATGTCTTTGCTATTTCACTGTTGATTTGACCCCATGAGCTTCCCAGATGTCTCTTCAGGAGAGATAGCAGGAAAGTATTGAGATATAACCTTCTGTGTACCACCTGCTTTCCCAAGGCAGCACAGTTTGCCTTCAGTGAGAAGTCATTAATTTTCAAAGGCAAAATTTGTGCTGTGTGGTCTTGTTTTTTTGAAATGTGGCATGTGACAGAATATTTCCTTTTTTAGCACTCAGAGCTTTCTATCCAACCATCCAGCTTTTGAAACGCAGGAGGACTGGTCACTGA